GCCACGGGCCAGCTGGCTACGGGCATCCCAAGCCTGCCACCAGCCTGGGGGTCAGCTGGTGTTGGCTTTAATTTCTGGGGTTGAAGGGGAAGAGTCGTCTGCCAGCTAACAGGTTAGCCGGTCAGAACACACCTACAGTTACTTCATGTGCCGTATTGGGCTCTGGCCTCTTGCATCAGAGGGCCAGCAGGCTCCCAAATGCCATAAAAAGGCTGCCAGAGACGTGCTGATTCAACTTTCCTCAGGCACTGAGAATTACAGATAAACTCACACCTGGAAAACGTGCACTTTTACCCATCTAGTTTACGCTATGTGTTAAAGCAAGAGGGAAGGGGAAACTTGGTAGAAAGCAGAGTTGGATTTAAATAGGAGCACACTATCATAACTGCCTCCCACCTCCTCCTCAAAACGGGAGAACAGGAGAAGCAAGGACATTTTTAATGTCATGCACATTCCTGTAGAAGAGTGGAAGAAAGATTTTTATTAATTGTGTCTCAATAATCTTGTACATAGCATGTGATACAAAGGAGCTGAGCCTTTGATGGCCTATTTCTAGTAACAGAAGGGTCATTCTTCAATGGAAGGAACCTTTATAGATAAAATCACTTACTTCTTGGCAAGTGATATGACATCTTGACACCAAGTAGTCTTGGCAGTTCTCTGTACACCTGGTTTTTCAGCTGCTACCCGTATCGTGCCGGAGATGCTCAGTGCTCTGTGTGCTGCTGTCCTTCTCTGGGTCCTGTAAGGGACCAGGAGGATCAGAAGAACCAGTGCTAGACCTCCCATGCAAGGAGTTACCTGTAGACACAAGGCTCATTAGATCAAGGACACCTTTTTTTCTTACAGTGAAAACTCCACAGCAACTCAAATTCAGTGTTAGAATGACATATCAGAGAATTGCAGGTATGTTCAGAAATAGATGTGACTTGCTGTATGTAGGTCATATTTGTAAAGAAGAAGGGGGACTTTGGTGATTTATGGTGACTTTGGAGAAAAGATAACAGATCCTCCCTCCACATCATACAGATATATGATTGCTTCCTCCACTTTTGGATAAAAGCATGTGAAGAAAGGAAACAGTACCATATTAGTCTGACCACAAATGCAAGAATCACTGATGCACTGAATAACATCCGACTGTTACTCCAGTAAACATTCTTCCCCACTCATGCTGTACTTGCGAGTTAATTTTGTAGGTAAGTTAAGAGGATCTGACAAAGTACTTCCAAAGCACTAGGTGCTCAGTATGGTGAGAAATTATGATGACATGACCAGAACAGAAAGGGCTTTTTTCTTGAAACCCTCAAATAATAGAACTTGTTCCCAACAGCATTTCAGAAAACAATTCCTGAAGAATTAAACTAGTGCTACCAGTATAATGTCCATTTTAACTTCAGTTTCCTCTGTTTTAAGAGGTCTTGGTGAACTGACAACCATGCCAAGTGTGTCCTCAGGTAAGAGCAACATCAGCACCTGCCCTGGCTGCTGTACAATTTCACCTGTGCCTGCTTTCATTTCACAAGAGCTAGGCAAAAATCATCCACTTGTCCTGCAGGAAGCGTTCTCTTAAACATCAAGTTCATGACCAGTCAAACAGTAGAAAGTCCTTCCACTGCTCACCTCTTTTAACACAATGAGCATAAGTAATCTAAACTCCAGGGATGATTCTGATTCTACAGTGATGGCTCAGCCCCTGGGTTAAATTGAATAACTCACCCTGAATGCCCAGTGCCAGTCACCTGTGACATCTGCCATCCCAGCTGCCAGGACATAACCAAGACCACTGTAAGCAACAGAACAATCAGTAGGTACCAATGAATTCTTGCTGGATGAGATGACACATCTTGCCAGCTAAGGAGCACACAGAGAAGTATTCTGACATAGTTTTCAAAACAGATAAACAGAAACAACCCTTATGGTCTATGCCAATCTACTTGCCAGCCAGTATTAAAGAGACAGTCTAACCTCCTCGGAGCAGACTTGAGATGGCGGCAATAATGTACCAGATTCCCCTTGGAATACAAGTTCTGTAGAATGACAGTGCAAACCCAGATCAGACAGCCCATGAAACAATTTATTATTTACTGTTTTCTGTGCTAGCGACACGAGTTAAGCCCTGCAGGAATTCCTTTAGTTTTAATCTGCTTTCTGGGCTCAGCCTTGGCTGCCTGCTCTAATAAAGACTATGCCTCTGAACCACTTAAAAAGCCCTTCTCTACCTCTTCTACAGACACAATGTCAATTTAACTAAAACAGCAGAGGGAACTGCCAATTCTTCCCTGGGAGACACTTAATAGAGCATTCTTGAAAATTTGTCAAGTAAACAAATATCTAAAAGCATTTGTGTTTCAAAACCCAGAAATAAATTACCTACCACCATGCACATATTCTTTTAGAATTGATTCAGTATTTTATTCAAAACCTACCAGTTTTCAGAGTTTAGATTCTCCCTAAAAAATGTTAGGGGGAAAAAAGCAAGTATTTCTTCAAGATAAATATAGAAATAAGCCTAACCAGTTCTAGATAAATATGCTAAGCAAGTGACAAATCCTTCTGCAAGAGCCAATGCAGATATATATTGAAATATGTCTAATCAAGACTCAGGGCACATTGAATTACAGGCGTGGTCAGACAGAATTTCAAAAGGCAGATCAGTTACTAGCAAGAAAACCAACCTTCCCACTGGAATGAAGATATAGAAGATAGACAACATTGTGGTCCTTTTTCCTTCCTCAAACAGGTCTGCAATGATGGTAGGTGCTACTGTGGAATAACTGGCCGTGCCAATGCCAACTAGTCCTCGTGAAATAAAGAATATCCAGTAATACTGCAGGTGAAAGACATATTATAGTACAAAAAAAGCCCATGCAAGAAAGAAAGCTTACTATTAAAGAGGTACATATCGGTGGATCAAATGTACAAGAGGAAATAAGATTTCACTGTCTTTTGTGTATGTCTGTATTCCCTTCACTCACAGCTGCTTCCCTCCAATCCCACTGCTGTGCTTTTTACTTTCTGCATAGTGACTTCTTAGAGTGACACCCAGAGGGAATTACAGGATAGGGTTGATAGACCACTAGCTTGCTGAACAAGCTGCTAGCTGCAAGGTCATAATCCACAAACAATTGGGACAAAAATAAGATCCCATCATTTGCAACAGTAATGTGTGTGTTCACCATTGCCCAGGCTGGACTCCACCATCCCATAAAGCATTCCATTGAGTCCAGGCTTGAGGAGTGAATGATGAAACGATAGCTTTTCCAAACATGATCAGAGGGGACTCATCAACTTCTGCAAGACATATGCAGATTATTTTCATAGTACCCTCCAAAAAAGCAACATACCGATTCACTGATGAATGAACTGCCTAATGTTACACCTGACCAGAAGAAAATACCAGCTCCAAGGATGATTTTCCTATTGTACCGGTCACCGAGGTATCCAAAGATGGGGGCAGCCAACATGTAACACAAGATGAAGACTGGAAATCCAAGAAGGAGCAAAGACAATATTGGTCAAATTATTCTTAGCCTATGTACGCCTCATCCCTCAGACAAACTCAGCTTTTTTTTTAGGACAGAGGTTAAAGTCAGGCTGAATTTGTAGAACTAGTAGGTAGATTGACATTTAGAAAAAAAATGCAGATCAGAAAAAAACAATACAAAAATAAAACATGTGAATTGCTCAAGTTCTGTATTTCTTGAGACATTCCTTCATCTTTTGTGATTCACGTGCTATAGGATTTTTGAAGGACTCAACTGTGTTCCCTGAACCAAAGACTTTCGGTTTTGCATTATAGTCAGCCTGCCCACAAGTGGAAGTGAGCAATACCACACACATATAGGAACTAGAAGAAATAAGTAACTAGACTGTGTTTTAGGAACAAACCATGTAGATGCAAGGCAAAGTAAACTATCTGAATTTAAGCGATTTTATTACCTGTTTGCAGTAGACCTGTATCCCCGTCACTAAGCTCGAAGTATTTCTGTATATCTAGCAGGATCCCTGCAACAGACAAACACTGAATGACATCAAAGTATCCTGCTCATACCTTGTAATTCCATTAATTTGCCAGCTCAAAGATTTATCTGAAGAAGAGTGCTTGCAAGAACAGCAGCACATTTAGCTTGCTAGTTTATATGTAAACCATTAGTCTACCACAAGCACAGATCTGATAAGAATTAAAATTCTTATCACTATAGATAAAATTCATGATCTTCCACTATATAGGTCTTAAGAAAGTCAGTTTACCCACTATTTTAATCACAACTGTTCTGTTTCTTTTGCACCATTAGTACATAAACACATAAACAGTTTACAGTTCAAGGTTTAATGGACACAATGTGGAACAAAACAGTGGCAAAGTTTTGCATGCAGGAGGGTGCTAACTTCATACAGCTCATCCTAAAACTTTCTTAATAACCTTAAAATATTAGGATGTATTACAGGAACTTCAGTTTTGGACTAACAAAGTATCTAGAACAAATCACAGCTAACACAAGTCTTGAACTGAACCACAACTTCATCTCAAACTAACTTTCACACTGAGCACCACTAAAATGCTATCCCCTCCACATAACTGGAGTAAGTGGCCTGACCAGTTATTGGCAAATGACAACAGCTTGGAACAGGGTTACAGATCAGAGGGGAAAAAGTCTGCATGATCACCATTTTTAATAAACTGAAGACTCAATTCCAGCAGACAAGTAAGTAGAAATGCTTGTTTTCTGTGTGAAGATTGATGCAAACTCTGTCAAAGCCTGTGAGCAAAACTGCCCGGAAACCACAACTTCATAACTGCCACCAGCTTACTTTTAAACAAATATTCAAGCCTCTCCTTCTTCAATTTCCTGTTAACTCATATTTAAGAATATGTTCATACGTATGGACAACCAAACTCAAAAGTAGTGATGCAGCTGAATTCTAGCAGATGAATGGTATATTGCTGTGGTATAAATGGCAATTTCCAGATTGCCTCCATGGCCCAAGAGGTCCTAGAGTTAACTAAAAAGTGTTTTAGTCATATATTGTAATTAAAGTAGATGTCTGATATTTCAAAGGCTTGAACACTATCCCCACCTCTCTTCTTGAATTCTTACATGTCCCTGAGGGTACCTCACTCACAAGAAACTGAGCCTGTTAACAAGTAGGCAAGCTTTACTTCACAGGCCTTCTTGAAAAAATTAAGCTCTTAGCATGGACAGACACCAAAGAATAGTTCAAAGCTTGGAATGAGCCAAATGACTGCTTGCACTTAACACTTCCAGGTGTACACCCTCCTAGCAGCCAAGTTCTTGCTCAAAGATATTTTCATCATCCTCTGTCCCCTGCCCTTCTCCAGGGAAAGTTATTTGGCAATAAAACCCATACATTGAAGTTCTTCACTAACAGTCTTGCAGTATCATTCAACATGCACTGCTACTTGTTCCTTCCCCCTTGTATGTGTGGTTAACACTTATTCAAACGAAAAAAGCTTAAACTCCTAAACCCACTAACTTAAATTTTTTAAGATACTGTTTGTGTACTGTCACTAGATATTTAATTCCAAATTTAAAAATCCACCCTTTGTTTTTTTCAAGGTTTTAAAACATTTATGATTTCCAGGCCACTCAGAAGTAAAATATAGCAAGCTCATAATAAGTGTTTCCTCCTAATTTTTAAATCAGATCCCTGGAAGCATGGTGGATGCTTTGGAGTGATGCTAAACAGAATAATTTACCCAGACCACAGTTTACATGTGAGGAAAAAACATAGATTTCCCACCAGTTTACTAGAAGCAATTCTTTGCTGCTCATGGCTAGGTTAAAAAAAAAAAAAAAAAAAAAAAAAAAAAAAATAAATCACATTTTGGAAGAAAGTTATTATTTATTAGAAAACACATTGTAAATTTGGTAGGTCATGCCTAAGGAAACGTGTCCCCATTCTCTTTACACAATCATGTTACGCTCTTCATTGCAGAAATCACACAATTTCCAGAAGAACATGAGGAAATTAAGCCTCCCCTAAACAAACCTTCACAAAGAGAACACAATTTTTGTACTTTGAATGGGGGGAATGGCTTCACTATTCTTCAGATAAATGAATGCCATATCTAATCTACTAGATCCAAAGAAGGCCTGGTAAGCTGCTGTATACAATAAAAGGAAGCTTCTTAGTCAAATCTCTGTAGAATCCAGACACAAAAATAGTCTAGTTGTTCTGTATGCTGAAGTCTGTTCATAAGAGACTTAGATTTAAAAATATCTTAAGCATTTAACAGATGTTATTTTTGTAAGCATTCTATTAACCATTAATAGCTAATACATCATTTATCAGTCTTCCAAGATTCATAATTGGAAGTTTCATTAAGAGTATGACCAACAAGCAAAAGCAGATAAGTGAGAAATATTTAAAAGACATAAAGCATATCCTTACTTTAGAAAACATTTGTAACTACAAAGTAGAGCTGTTGGGAACTTAAATTTCTTTTTCCTCAGAAGGAGAAAATAGACTCTCACCTGGTACAATGAACCAGTCCATGAAATTTAATAAATTTGCATAGCACAGCACAGCAGCTATCATGTAATCTCTCTTTGCTGGACCCTTTCCTGACACAGACACAGATGAACCTTGTCTCACATGTGCTGCCGTAGCTCCATAACTCTGCTCCACGGGAGGCAGCTGGGGCTGCAAGTTTGTGTTTTCATGTGCACCAGGGTTTTGCATATTTCCCAGTGCAGAAAGTCACCATGAATTATGAAGTGTTTCCTTAGTGCACCAAGTTACAAGTCGATTTTATGTTCAAGCTATGAGGAACTTCAATCACTATGGTCATTTCCGGTGATGAAGCCCAGCCACTAAAAGCTGAAATTAAATGTTCCTTGCAGTAGGAAGAACTTGACAAAGAAAGAAGCTGCAGTCCTGTGTTTTTGCAAAAGCAAAAGTGCTGAAGTGCTATACCTTGAAGACAAGGAAAAGGAAATGTAAACAAAAGCAAAATAATCCGTTGTGCATCCAAGAAATACAAGTGCACAACTTCGCAATGATCTCTCAGAAATTGCATATGGAAAATTAATAATAATCTTTGCTAAGGTCTCAGTGAATTGCCAGAGGTAAAAATAGCCTTTCTAGAGAAGAGAGGGAAATCAAAAAAGAGAAGCTCATTTGCTAGATGCTAGACCAGGTACCTAGCTTTGACTTGAGCCCTCCTTCACCACAGACTTCTTGTGCAACTCTGGCATTTGCTTTCTCTGCACCTCAGATCTTTGTCCCCGCCACACAGCCATACACGCTGCACTGGCCTTTAAAACAGGGCTACCTAGCCTTGTCCTTGCCACCTGACCAGTCACCTCTCCCTGTTACTGCCCATCTCCTTTGCGCTGGCTGGATCTACCCTCAGAACAAAATCCTTCCCAACAATGTTCTGAGTTTTTAGGTCAAATCAGTAATTTAAGCAGAAGACTTGCACTCCAGACTACTTGCTGGTTTGGGGTGGGGGTGGGATAACAAAAAACCAAACAAACAAATCCAACAAGAAACCAACCCAGAATGCCAGAATGCTACAGTAAACAGAGAAAGGGAGATGGAAACAAAAGCAGTCTTCTTCACCGCTGCTGGAACTGTGCACATTCCACAGTTCTGAATTGTGTAACGGGATTTCTTCCCCTTTCTCTCCCAAAAAGGGGTCTGAAAGGGGAAGCAAGGAAGACACAGGAAGGTGTTCTTGTTCTTTCAGGGTGTATAGATACCTTTCTTCCCTGTCCTTCTATTGACCACTCAGATTTGAAAAAAATATTCTGAGTTAATTCTTCCAGCATCACTTTTCCTATTATATTAATTATTTTTCAGACACATAAGTAGTCACATGACTTGAGACATTTTTTGCACTACCAGTTTAAGAAAGTAATTTATTTTTGCACCCTATTAGGAAATTTTAAAGTGAAAATTACTAGTAAACTGTAAGAGTTTAAGAGTGAGGCAGCTAATTGGCGTGAGTCCTGATTACAGTTTATGACTCATGCATGAAGACAAGAGTCCACGGTTGGTTTTTTTTAAGAACTGTGTGTTTCACACTTCACACTAAACTGAAAAACAAAATAGCACCTAGTATTCTTGGCTATTTTGTAAAATCCAGACTCCTTTACTTTTTCATGCTCAACACTGTAGTATTTAATTCTATCTTAATTTCATGAAGATCTAGTTTAATTTAATCATGGATAAGTCTATAATAATTTTATTTCAAGAGGGGTCTTTTTTTTGGTAACATCTTAGCTCTCAACTTTCTAAGGGAGGATTTAGGTCTAGATCATGGGCATCTCTCCCTACTCCTGCTCAAGGGAGCTCCACATAAATCAGCTTGTGTCTGAAAGTATTTCAGTGTCAACTTATTAGGAGGAAGCAAATTTTGCTCTCTGTTCGGTATTACCACTACTACCTTCTTCTCTGCTATAGACTGTAGAACCTTCACTGAGTAAATGTCACATTATTTACACCTCCCACTGCTTTATTAAACCAGTGAAGTCAAGAGTTGACTGTACTCAGGAGCAATAAAGAACCAGCACAATTTTGGAGAAATTAAAAAAATCTACAGCCACAAACGTGAATTTTAAAAGGTGAAAAAATAGGAAAATTCCGTGGCAGAATTCCGGCTGTTTTCAAAGTTGAGCAAGGTGCGGGGCCGCAGCCCAGCCCGCTCCCGCGCCGCGCCGCTGGGTGGCGATCACACACCGGCACAGACGGTACTCACACCCCGGTACACACACCCCGGTACACACACACCCCGGTACACACACCCCCCGGTACACACACCCCCCGGTACACACATACCGGCACACACACACCGGCACACACACACCGGCACACACACACACCCCGGTACACACACACCGGCACACACACACACACCGGCACACAGCCCCCCGGCACACACACACACACCGGCACACA